CTTAAACAAAGATAAATTAAATTAAACATTGAAAGCAAAAGATAGAATACACCTAAGAACGTTCCAGCACTCCAAGCTTGAATGTGATGGCACGGCTAAGGCTCTCTTTTCCTTTCTCCTTGCTATGTTGCGGCATAAGGGTGATTTCTATGATTGATGGTTGTGTGGTGTCAATTGTGGTGAGAGATGGGTTGTGGTAGAATGTAGTATTTATAGGGATAAAACACACGGCATAGAGTCATTGTTTTGGAGAAGAATTAAACACTCCAAATCCACAAGGAAAAGGCCACCTAGAAATCAGAAACCAAAGAGAATAAGGATAGGGGGTGTGGCAAGGCTTCTAAAAAGAGATAGGTCTTCTAGAAATAGGTTTTTATGTGTCCAAGTTTGAAAAGAACCCCCCTTGTAGCTGGAATTAAAGTAGCAAAAGATTAGGATAGGATAAGATAAGATAAAGTTGGATAAGGTTTGGATAAGATAAGATAGTTTAGATAAGGTTCAATGTTTCTTGCTCTTTCCTTATCTTTTTTGTCTTGAATTTGTTTCTCCAGATTTGTAGCATGTTCCTAGCCTCTTTTGACTTCAAATTCGTCCATCCACCTTGCTCCATACGCAAGCTATCCATTCTAGCCCAAAATTGCTCTAAAATGCACCAAAATGCACTTTTTTGCCATTTAAACCTACAAACACACAAAAATAGCTTAAATCACTATAATAAATAGAAACTAACTATGTAAATGCAAGAAAACAAGCTAATTAAGTCGCATAAATATGCTCCTATCACTCTTCATTAGGTTTCAACTAGAAAGTGTCCCTAGTGTACCCACACTACGACACTAATAGGGTGATAACTCAAGCCAGGGAATCAAGGTCTCATCAAGATCCGAACTCAAATGAGAGATTGAACCACATGATTGAGAATCATGTACAATGGTGATGTCATTATTCTCAAGGTTGCTTCTATGGATAACATAAAGATATCCATTGTCTATGCCTACTACTCTGCCATTTTTAAAATGGTTTAATTATTTATGGCTAGGATTAATTAGTATGTTAATTAATCAAACGAATAGGTTCGTTTTAGAACTCGGGTTAGTTTTGGGCCTTAAAGCCCAATGGGCTTCAAATTTCAAGTCCAATAACTCAAGTTGCATGACAACTTGAAAACACAAAGGGCATGAAAGTCCGATGAACCTACATGGCCGGGCATAGAGAGTGTGAGGGAGAATTGGTTTTAATTTCAACTATGCCACTCAATGTAAGTGGCTATAGAAAGGAAATTATAACTATTCCCTCATAAGGGTTTTTTAGAGAGAATAGAAAAACACAAAAAACTCTCTCTTCTCTTAGGAGGCCGACCACCCTAGGAAGAATGGACTAGCATCCATTTCTTCCTAGGTCACTCATCTCTTCCTCAATGCTCTCCTTGGTGTGGAAACTTAGAGGTTCCCTTTCTTGGGAACTTGGAGAATCCATTTCTTCATCCATATCCAAGAAGTCATGGAGCTAAGAAGCAAAGTTCCTCCATCCACATCCATGGAGCCAAGGAGTAAGGAGACTAAGGAAGGAAGGCCCTCACATGGGTGAATATCCTTTGCTAAGCAAAGAGGTGCTTCAAAGATATAAAAGTTTATCAACTCTTTTATTCAAGATTTGAGTTGAGTCTTGGTTCACCATAAATACCAGGCCTTGAATTTCATGGCTAAAGTTTTGTTTTTGAGTGCATACAAGCATGATTCTACCTTTAATTGTTAATTGTATGCATAGATGTTGCTCAAATGAACATTTTTTCACCAATTATTCCTTCAGAGGGCAGCTCAATTCGTTGAGCTGATCACCTTGTGGCACCGAGACGAAGCACGAACTTTCAAACGATGCGATGAGAGAAAGATGATATGAAACTATGGATTCAAATATGATAAGTAAGTTTCTCCGTTCAAACAGTTGGAAGAAGAAACTAACTAAGAATCCATACACACATCTATTTTCAATGATGATGTGGGTGAGTTAGCACAAGATTAAAGGCATGAAAAAGGGTATGCAACTAGGGTTTTAGATGAAGAACAAGAGAGGAGGTTGGGGAGCTTAAAACCACTCTTTAAAACCTAATATGTCTAACCAATGAGGAAATGAAATCCTCTAACCTTATAACAAAAAACCTTTGATTGTTGTAGACAAGAGTATAAAAAGACACTTGTCAAATGTAAAAGCAATCTGAGCATCTTAATGGCAAAAGCTTAATCCCGTATAAAAGGTGTATGTTAGCCCATGTGGGCTGCCTTAAATTTCATGCTTAGCTCGCATAAAAATAGCTAGCAATTCTGACAAGACAACTTCGTTGTCAAAATGCATAAGAAATCTAAACATGAAATGCACGTGCATGTACAAATCTTACTTGTGATGAAGCAACAAAGATCTAATAAGCATGTATGGTACATGAACTAAGTTTAGACTTCACAATATTCATGAGAAGATGGAACTCTTTCTGAATGGATTGTATATTACAACCATATGAGCTGTGAAGGCCAGTGGCCCACTACGTGGTGGCTAGGAGCCTAGGTTCCAAAGTATTTCCTTGTTTTGGCATGGCTATTTGGGACATCTAAGAAGAGATATGATGCGTTGTATCCTCAAAGTATCACTTGAGTACCCACTTACTAGAAGTTTGAAACTCATTCCTGGACATACATCATGTCAAACTTGCTTTTTGGGGAAATTGATTACTCAACCTGCCAAAACAAAGATTAATCACAACCCCCTGAAGTTTCTTCAAAGATTCAAGAGGATATTTGTGGACCTATCCAACCAACATGTAGACCATTTAAATATTTATGATGTTGGTTGATACATCAACATGTTGGTCATATGTTTGCCTACTATTCACACGCAATGCTGCATTTGCGAAACGTCTAGCACAAATTAAGTCGATTCAACTGGATAATGCTGAAGAGTTTAGTTCGTAGACTTTCGACAATGATTGCATGTCAATTAGGATTGAAGTTAGACATCCAGTATCCTATGTTCACATCAAAAATGGCTTCGCAAAAGTGTTCATTAAGCGCCTTCAAGTGATTGCTCGGACCTTGGTCATGAATACCAAGTTTTCAGTATTTTGAGGGCTATGCAATTTTGCACACATTTTGCGAATTGTCACTTTGATAAGATAGTCTTCCCGCTAATAGGGGGAGATAAGAATGTTAACGTTCCTGAGCAACGCCATGAATTGTCGTGGATCCCTGCACTACACAATTTGAAATTGATGCATCATATTTAGATTGACAGAGCGTTGCTTAAAGCATACCTGTTGTTTTTACTGATCTAGCAAAGATGATGATATCACATATACCCACTGCAAACACGCATGGAAGGATAGGTGTACTTAACGTATGTTAAGCATCGCGCCTGAATGACAAGCTATCCTCGAAGGACAATTGGCTGCATAGCCTAGTACATTGGCAGCTAACTAATCATTTACTTATACCTTGAAGCGTGGCATACCTATTAGTTCAAAGGATTTACAACCCCAAAAGAGGAAGCCCACGACTTTAACTAGTGAAACTAGTTTGAATCTGACCATCGCTTGCTCAACCATTCCAACACATGAGGTTATTCTAGATTACAAAAGCATCTTGGAAGAGACGAATATGATGATAGTCGACGATGCATTTGCATACAGATTAGCTACTAATATGATGCTGAGCGATGGCATTGAACGACGCTCCATTGGTGAATGTCAACATAGACCTAATTGGTTGAACTGGAAACAAGCAATCCAAGTTGAACTTGAGAAACGTAAATCGTTTGGGCCTGTAGTTCCTACACCTCCACATGTGACGTTTGTTGGCTACAAGCGGGTTTTTGTAAGGAAATGTAATGAAAAGAATGGAATAGTGCGATATAAGGCATCGGTTTGGGCCTGTAGTTCTTACACCTCCACATGTGACGGCGCGTGAGGGACCCAAGACCTACATAAGGTTTTTCGACGTCTTGAAACACATGGTGTTATCCGTTTGTGCAAATTCGTTGTCTAAATAGTAGTTTTAGACATAGTTTGGTTAAATGTCAAGAAATGCTTAATTAAGTCAAGGTATTGTGTTCACAAGTCCCAAAGAGGTTAAAGTAGAGATAGGCAATGAGTCTAGCGATGTGTCGTGCTTTCTATACCTATGAGTACATGATTATCATGCACATGCACATATGTTTCATATAGCTAGCTAAGGTCGTCGGTTATTTGCAAATATTGATGTTTCTAGTAGATACTAGATGGCTAGTCGATGCTAGCTAATGATTGACTAATGCCTTTCCACCTACTTGCTATACTATACGACTATACTATACTGGTTGATGCTAGTATTATTGTTTTGATATAGATATGAGGTGTTTATGTTATGTGTATTGATCGATGATTGTGATGATATGATTACTTTGGAATTCTTGTTGTGAATACTATATATTAGTAGATAGCATATGTAGTTTTCAAATTATATTTGTTTTCCAAAACAAGGGTTATTGTGTTCAAAATGTTTTTAACTAGATAAATGTTCGATCCACTCACACTTTGTTTTTTGATCCATTGAGGACATAGTGAGACCAAGGTAACTTTTGGGCCAGATAAGTGGACATGGTAGTTAGGCTATTCACCTACGGATTATGTTGTTCCTTTTTCTGCTATTTTGTCTAGTTGTAAAAATGATGTCTTGATTGTGCAAAGCACTACACTTAATTTGTGTAACTGTTTATCGACTGCTAGTAGCTCTTGATTGATATGATAATAATGAGATTGTATCCCTTAACATGTGTCCCCAAGTCACTTATAAGTTAAAAAAATACCACTAAACCGTAATATGAAATATGAAATGCACCTCTATTTTTAATTCTTGTGTTAAATAAGCATACAGCGGTAATATTTTATTCTTAGGCCATGATGACCAATTAGTATGTATGTATTAAGTGCGGAATTACGGTTGCATCCTCGGTTGTTCGGTTGTTCGATTGTTCGATTGATAGATTATTGGATCTTGGCATTGCATTGCAGCATTGAATGTGGAAATAGAAAATTGAATAGAGAGAGAGAGAGAAATGGAGTCGGCGGTGGTTTCGAATCAAGCGGCGGAGTTCGATTACTTGTTCAAGCTCTTGATGATCGGCGACTCAGGCGTCGGCAAGAGCAGTCTTCTCCTCAGCTTCACCTCCGATTCCTTCGAAGACCTTTCGCCTACCATCGGTTTGCATTCCCAATTTCTTCGTTTCAATTTCTTCCGTCGTATTGTTTTTCTTCGCAGATTCTTCATTGTTTCCTTTTGGTGGTTGCAGGTGTTGATTTTAAGGTCAAATATGTTACTCTCGGAGGCAAAAAACTCAAGCTTGCAATTTGGGATACAGGTAAATCCCAATTCACTCGCTGCTTTTCTTGCTAATTTTGTTTTGGAGATTTTTATGTTTCTAGATGCCCCTTCTTGTGATTTGATTTGGGGCCCTTTGAATGTGTCATTTACCCACATTTTGGAGGATAACTTTTCGAAATTTCGGATTATTTACAAAAAGAAACGATTGAATTAAGTCGAAAATGTAGTGTTTCTAAAGGATTTAGGATATATGTAGATCACTGTAATGTGATTCATCATTTTACTGGTCTTTATTTGTTGAGCACAGGCCCGTCTGGTCCTTTCTTGTTCAAGGGATCAAAGTTTCAGAATGTAAATAATGATATAAGAACTTCGATACACTTCTGGTTTTTCTTTTTTCTGCTGTGTTGCCAGGTGATAGTATTGATTGCCAGTTGTTACTCATCATCTTAAAGATAATATGGCTGTCATAGTAACTAAGTCGCTATATCTATATTGTCATTTGTAAATTTCTGTTGGTTAATTTTTATTTTTCTTAGGGTATTTTTTATCAAACCAACCTAGTTTTGATTGGGAGTACTTTTATTATCATTCCCTCCTTCCCCCCATTTGTTAATATTTTATTTCTTGGCATAACTGTAGAAGCAAGCGTTTTGTTTTATGTGTATATTGTTATTACTTTGAACTTAAGTTGTTCAAGTGTTCTTGTGCAACCACATGTGGTTTCAAAGCACAAATAAGATTATTTCGAGTTGGGAATGAATCAGAAGAGTGGCTGAAGATTTAATATAAATGGTTGAACTCCATTTAATTGATGTGATAAAAATTACTGGAGTCATGCCACAGTTCACCTTTGTATTCTGCTTGACATTGAGACTTTCTCCATGTCATCATTTTGTTATCAAAGCAATATTTAACTTGACATTCGATATCCTTCATTGTTCTTTTGCTTAGCGTTCAATTTTATTGTTAATTGGTTTTTCATAGCTATCCTTCACCACTTTTTTAAGTAAAGAGGAGCGTTTGAACTGCTATTTCTAACATGTTCTAAATGTTTATTTACTCAGCTGGTCAGGAGAGATTTAGAACCTTGACAAGTTCATATTACAGAGGTGCACAAGGAATCATTATGGGTAAGTGTTACCTACGCCTGGTTTTATTATTCTTTCAAGTGAAAACTGCAGATAATGATTTATTGCATTGTTGCAAATAGGATGCTGCCTCTGTTCTTGAATTTCGATGTGTGTGTTACAAATAGGATACTATTTGTCTGAGTGATCTAATTATGTTCAAAATTGATAAATCAAAATCTTGTCTGAAAATGTTGATTAGCGGATTTTAATGTAATATATGGCGATTTAATGATTATCATATTGTTTATGTTGAATGTGAGAAAATAAGTGAGGCACTGTTGTTGATCAAACATGACTAAATTTTCACTACGATTATTTTTTAGCAAAAAGAGGGTGCTTCTTCTCTGTATATAAAGTGAGAGCAGCAAAATGGTGAAGCATTTGAAATACCAGAAAATACCCTCCACAAATTAAAAATTCAATACATTATCATCTAATTAATGAGGGACAAAATAATAAATTCATGACATTTTGAATGAAAACATTTAAAATAAAAACCAACCCACATAGTGGGTAGTTCATGGCTTTGCTTCATTTCCTTTTTTTTGAATAGTTTTGTAATAAAAAAAATATAAATCAGTTTTTTAAATATAAAATCTAAAAGACATAATCTTACATAGAAAGGCCAATTGCAGTGTACGTGTGTGGCAAGAGGCTAGTAGTATCTAACTTCCAAACCCAACAAGTTTTAAGAGGGTGCTATAGAGGTTTATCTTGAAAAACAAAAGAATGCAACAGATCTGTGCAATCTCGTATATATATTGCATGTGAGAGTTCTGGTGCTCTTTCTTATGTAGGACATTGCATGGTGGGCGCTGCCTACAATCATAGTGTGCTTTGAAGATATTAGTAACCAGGAAAGATTTGGAGAAAAGAAAGTTTTGGAGTTACTTAAAGGTCGATAAATTTGAGAATGGAGAGTACAAATGGAGAAGATAGTTAAGGAGGCGATTTCAAGGAACCAATACATACAAAATGAAAGATTTCAAGGAACCAAGCTTTTAACAGCACAATTTCCATATCCCATTCCGATTATTTGGAGGATTTTAGAGAAGAAAGGAGTATGAGTAGCATATATCCAAGCTGTAAAGGATATGTATGATAGAATAAGGACTGCCATAAGAACTCATGAAAGACAAACTGAAAACTTTCCCATAACTATAGGGTTACATCAAGGCTCAGCTTTAAGTCCTTACCATTTTACATTGGTAATGGATGAGTAAACGAGACATATTCAAGATGATATTCCTTGGTGTATGCTTTTTCTAGACTATATAGTGTAGATAGATGAAACTCAGGAGGGAGTAAATGCGAAGCTTAACCTTTGGCGGGAAGTGTTGGAATCTAAAGTTCTTCGCCTAAGTAGGTCAAAGACAAAGTATATAGAGTGCAAGTTCAGTGGGAACAAAGGTTCAAATGAGTTAGGGGTGAGTACTAGAGATCAGAAAGTACAAAAGAGCGAACGCTTTCGCTGTCTTAGATCTATCTTGCAGAAAAATTGAGAATTGGATGGAGACCTCAACCATAGAATACAAACTGCATGGATGAAGTGAAAGAGGACATCGACTGTGTTGTGCAACTGTCGTATGCACTAAAGCTCAAGGGAATGCCTAAGACAAAGAGTATTAAAGCTTAATAAAAGCGTAAGTCTGTAGCGGAGATGAGAATGCCTTGTGGATATGTGCGAACACGAGAAAGGATAGGATTAGGAATGAGGATATCCGAGGTAAAGTAGCAGTAACTGAAATTGAAGATAAGATGAGAGAAAATCAGTCACGGTGGTTTGGACATGTGAAACGAAGACCTACAAATACTCCGGTTAGAAGATGCGGTTACGAGGCAAAGGCTTAGGGCCAAAGGGGTAGAGGACCTAGAAAGACTTGGAAAGAGACTCTAAGAAAAGACTTGGAGTACTTGGATCTAATGGAAGACTTGGAACAAAACCAAGTGCAGTGGCGTTCTAGGATTCATATAGTCGACCCCACTTAGTGGGATAAGGCTTTGTTGTTGTTGTTGTATTCTGATTTTCTTTACAAGAAATACCTTCTTTTAGGGTTCAAATATAAAGCACCTATGCCAAGCACTCCTTTATGCCTAATATGGTTGGAAGAAATACCGTTTAGTTAGAGGCTTCAAATAGAACACTCAAGACTCATTAAAATCCTGAAGGACACATTACGTAATACGACTCTTTTAGAAAACTTAAAGACCTTGAGTTGCTAAGAAATAAAAGAATTGATTCCTAAATTGATTCTTTGACATTAACACTTCACGTTATATTTATTTATTTTATTATATACTGATTGTTTTCACCATGGTGGATGTTTTGTTCTAGAATTAAAAGTCTGTATTGTAAGATTTGGGCAAATGGTCTTAGTCTTGTGCTACCAAAGTGAATGTTTATCTTCTAATTGCATTTGGATTGTATTAAAAAAATTGCATTTAGATGAAAGGTAGCATATTTATCATTTAAATGTAGTTATTCGAACAAATTTTGTTTGGGCTCTAATTGCATTTAAAATTTTAGATGAAACATAGCGTGTTTATCATTTGTATCTCCTAAAGAACTTTAACGCATTAGTCATTTGTGGTGATTCAAGGGTAATAGTAACCTATAAGGTTATACCGATGCCCATGTTAGAGTGGCTCATTAAGTCTGAAATTATTTGGAACTTGCTAGGCTCTGATTAAGGAATTATTTTCTTAAAAGTATTCATTTGGTTTTTATTACTCCAACAGTTTATGATGTAACAAGGCGAGAAACATTTACAAACCTTTGTGATGTATGGGCAAAAGAAATAGAACTCTACTCAACAAATCAAGACTGCATCAAGATGCTTGTTGGGAACAAAGTTGATAAGGTATTCCAAGGTTCCAATTTAAATTTCTCTGGAGAAGTAAGCTTATTGTTCAATCATTTTGGGGGGCCATGAAATATTTGTTGGTTCATTGTGAGTGCAATTACAGTGCAAGCTTTCATAAGTAGGCATTGCAGATATCTGTTTCATATGCTCACATTGTTAACATATTAAATTTGCTTGTACCTTGCATATTAGTTTGTAGTTAAAGAAGGGGTAAGGGTTCAAAACATGGTCATTCTCTCTAAGAGGATAAACAGATTACTGGAACTCTTTAAATCAGATTTTCATGGTAGTTCTAGTTGGAATAACGTCTTCATTTTCTGGTTTATGAACTGCAACCTATTCTGTCATGTGCTACTTTTACATGCAAAATGAGGGTTTTAGAGGCTGTTCCACCTCGTCGTTTGATTTTGATTTTAAATTCTGTGTGTATTTTTTTTTTCAATCCCTATTATGTCTCGTGCTATTGTTAGATTACCACAAGCTGTCCTGGTTTTCTATTTTGGATTTCCCTTACTTGTTAGGCACTTGGTATGCAAGTTTGGTGGACATATAAGTAAATAAAGACAGGCAAGATTACAGATCAAGTTGATCTGAGGTTCTTATTTTTCCAAGCACCAAATTCTCGATGGCCTTGGACCATTATACTATCTTGTTTAGACGCCTTTTGCTCGTTTAATACTTATTCAGATCGATCCTTATTTTCCAGGAAAGTGACAGGGTTGTAACAAAGAAAGAGGGAATAAATTTCGCCAGGGAATCTGGGTGCCTCTTTATTGAATGCAGTGCTAAAACTCGAGTTAATGTGCAGCAGTGCTTTGAAGAGCTTGTTTTAAAGGTTCAGAGACCTTTTCAGTTACTATTTCTTTTTGCTAACAAGACCTTTGAATTTGTAGTCCCATTTATTGTGTCTGCACTAACCCGTGGATCTCATGTGTTGAGAATAAATATCTAGGAAAAAAAGAAAATAAGACTGAATATGCAACTGTTTGCATCGTAACAATGGAAAGGAAACTTTGATAGAACTTGCTTAAAAGAATTATGGTAGATTAATTAGACGTAGGTTGAATGCCTGATAATCTTACTATCCAAAAAGAATGGTAGCTCAAATTAAATGATGGCCTGATAATTGTAACTATGTATATGCAGATTCTGGATACTCCCAGTCTCTTAGCCGAGGGGTCTAAAGGGGTGAAGAAGAATAACATCTTTAAGGAGAAACTGCCGCAGGCTGACGCATCAACGAGCGGATGTTGCTGAAGCTTACTCACTTGTCTCAAACTAGTGCATTTCAGATCTCTAATTAGCACTAAATTGGTCCCTTGTCACTCCAGAAGGAATTATTCTCATTCTATGAAGTGCAAATCTCTTGTAAAATATAGCTCATCTGATTTCTTCCGCATTTTTTTTGTTTCCTATGGGACTAATTTGTGCGTACAAACACAATTCATATTTAATATATTCCCACTTTGATATTACCTGATTGTGGCAACATGAACGAAGCATACAAAACTAAAATAAAAATTGTAAGGCATATGGGGCAATTTCTCTTCAACTCATACCATTCCGAGTATAAACTCTCTCTCTCTCCCTTTTTTCAGTGTAGCTTAGAGTAATAATATTGTTTGTAATAACAAAATGTAAGTAGAGATCAGTGTTGTTCATTTGGCAGCTGTCTCGAAAGAACTTTGCACTAAGTATCCAAGTCTAGGGGCCTGTTTGTAAGTACATTTTAAAATAATTAAAAGTACTTTCAGATCAATAAAAATGCATGACGGTTTGACATAAAAGAAATTGAAGTGTTCCTAGGTTAAAAAAAACACTTTTTAAGTATCTTTCCCAAAGCATTTGCATTTTTATTAAAAATTTAATGTGCTTCTAATAAAAGCGCTTCAACTGAAAGTGCATTTAAACATAAGTGCTTCTTAAATAAGCTGTTCCAAACAAGCCATAATTTTGTCGGTACGATGGTGTCCGATCCCTATCCTGATTTAAGGCATCCACTTCTTCTTCTTCCTCCTCCTCAACTCAATCAGCAAACCTAAGGTTGCCATTGCTGAGCAGGCGCTAGGTTCTCGTCTCTCCCTTTAGCTACTTTTCTGCTCCCAAGTAAAGCTAGTTGTAGTGATTCCAACAGTATGAATGTAAATTCAGCAACCCCTTCTGGTGTCACTTCTTCTGCTCTCACAAGATTCAACCCGATGAGCGCTGCTGAGAGAGACGCAAGGGATGCGATTTCTCATAGAACATCGGATGCTTTGGAGTTGTTGAAAGGGAGGGAACTGCAGGCTCAGCGTGTATAATTTATTAACTCACTCTGAAAACAAGCTGCTGCTATGCTATGCCTATCATATCATTTCTCTCACTCACTCTCTACTTACAATTTTTATAAACACATCGGAATCAAAATATGACTGTTAATGATAAAGGAACCGTTAACTTTTAATTTAGCAATGTCAGATTGTAATATGGTCCGCATTACTTGAGCTAGGAAGATGTAAGGTCTTTTGTGAAGCTGCATAATGTGCCGTCTCCTGTATTATTGTGAACTCTACCAAATTTTATTGGGTCACTCGAATGATTGAATCAAACGAGGCTTGATCAAAGTAGTTCAAATATTTAACTGCAGGTGTGTAGGGACGGCCATACTTTCATATGGTCTGAGCTGGATACGAGAAAACGCAGCTCCTGCCATGGCCACGGTGCTCTCGTTCCTTTCGCCACTACCACGGGAATCGCTTTTTCTTTCTTTTCCTCTGGCTACAAAGATGTTTCAGTTCACCAGGTTGTCTCTTGCCTGCCCATGGATTAAGCAGCAATTCGAAAGGTTAACCTATTTGGGAATCTCCGAATCTACGCTTATTTTCTACTTTCTGAAGCATTACGTCTCTTACTACGCACACATTTCGTTCCTTTTTGATTATGTATCAAGTACCAAATACTAAATACTGTTGTTACATCTTTGTTGTCAGGTTACAGAGTGCAGACATTCATAAGTGGAATTGTACAACGAAAACTAAAAGGGTATGTGAAAACTAGAAAGTCTGCTTTGCTTTATTGGATCAAAACACCAAAAGTAACAACGGGGTTGTGTTGAGATCATTGCTCTTCGATCATTTCTCTCAACTTATCATATTAAATTGTTTGGTTTGGGATTGTATTATAACATTACGGGCTCGTCTGATATAAATAATTGGATTGAAATGGATAAGGATTGTATTATAACATTACGGGCTCGTCTAATATAAATAATTGGATTGAAATGGATAACTTACCAATTAAAGGTATGTTAAATGGAAAAATTAGAAAATTATGACCACCTAGAGGACAAAAGATGGATTATTGTACTTTACGAGCCCAGTAACCTTTCTATAGATTAAAATAAAGACTTTATAAGTCATTGTGAAAAAAGAACCCCAAAATGGAGGTGGAGAACTTTTGACTCTCGTGAAAGCAGTATGGAGTGCTTCTGTTTGGCAATTGGTATTGGTAGGTAATGTAGCAACACCTTCTTTTGTGTCAAAAGGGGCACCCATCTCATCTCATCTCATCATGTAAAATGTGGACCTTACCTACCCTTGAGTGTTTTTGTTTGACCATGGCCTTCCACATGTTAAAAATTCTTTGTGCCTGTGCCTAACAATTGGGAATTTGTTGCGGATCCATAAGCGCTCACATCAAAAACTTCGCACTAAATGAGCAAACGAGAAGTGCAAGGAGCCTTCAGCCGCTGAAAGAGCAAGAATCAATAATACTATTCTGAAAGTCTCCCCTAAATAACATAAATATGAAAAACAAAAGAAAAATATTGTAGCAGGAACAACAGAGAATCCCTTGTTTTTCTCCTGCACCAGTTTCTTATGTAACGCATCTTTGCAAATGAATCATCATGCGTTGGAGCGAATATCCATTGACGAATCATAATTCTGGAAGTAGATTGTTCTTCCCCCATATGATTTATTTTCCGGAAAATCTACTGAATTTGTGGCCAACTGAAGGGAAATGACAGATTCAAGCGTTCGGTTTTCTTAATCGATAACTAAACCCGTATTCATCAACAACAAGAAACTGTATGCTATTATCATTTAGCAACAAGTAAAATTGTTGGCCTGCATTAATCTCAATGCTTTATGAACTACACACATTGATAATCTAATAGTTTGACGTCTGCATATGGAAAGTAATACATAAGCTATAGAAGCTGGTTTGCTTCCTGAGACCACTTGATTCTGAGGAGCTTGAGCAACATTCTCGCCTTTGTTTTTGTTTGACCACTGCACTGGCTCTGCAGAAGCAATAGCAACTGAGTCAACACTCCGCCACTAATCGCTTCTTCCCGTGCCAGTAAAGAGTCATTGCATAGAATTATGAGCGAGCCAACGGCACTATCACTGCCTCCGTGATCATCTGATACCCTGAAAACCATCTTAACAACAGCTTGAATGCCGTTCGGATTACTAATCACTGCCTCTCTTGCACTCTCTAGTCCTAAAAGCTTCTCAAGCGTGGCCACTGCCAACGGTGCCAAGTTTCTTTTGTGTCCTTCCACACTAGAAATCATGTAGGAAGTGAGCCCATTCACCACGCCTTGTTTGACCAGAAACTCTCTGTTCTCTTCCAGGGAAGACAATGCTGATACAGCTTTAATTGCAGCATCTCCATCCTCCTCCGAATTCAAGTTCTGGTGAAGCAGCTGAGCCAATATCTGATGCAAGAGTTGGTTGTTCTTTCCCAACATAGAACACAGTCCTTTTGTCTCTGGAGACGTTGATGCTGCCTCTATGAGATGGCACAAACTCATCCTGATTGAGGTGGTGCTGTTCGCGAATAAAGCTTGGAAGGATGCTAAGTTATTCTCTTCTCTAAGCATATTGAGTGACTCCAACTCGCTGAGAGGCAGCAGTGTTATGATGCAACAAAGCGCTTGCTCCACAAAATCTATATGGTAGTAGCACTCTTCATGGAGTTTCTGTTTTTCTTTCAGTTCGGCTTCTCCTCCTCCAAACACAAGCTCCAATAGTAAAGGCAGGAATCTCAGCTGAAGCAACAAATTATTTCTGAATGGCGATTCTAGCTGGGAGAAAGCTCGAATCTCTTTGAGCGCTTGAACCTTGCTTTCTAAGGTACCCTCATCACGAGATTTGAGGCCGCATTTGAGTGAAGATAAATAATCAATTGTCTGCAAGTAATGAGGATCAAATTGGTTGTCCATCTCCAGCCACTGATTGATGAAATGGCGAAGAGTATGATTTGGCACCATGGATGGATCGTGAAGCTTCTGCATTGTGACAGGACATGAGAGATTACCTGAGGAAAGCCATTTTTCGATGCTCGACCTGTCGTAGGTTTGGCCTGTGCAGAGAGTGACTGGATCTTTGAACAAGTCCAGACTGATTGGGCATTTGAACAGATGGGGAATTCTCATTTCTTCAACTTGTTCTTTCATATATGGACAACGGATGAAAACCCAACTCAAACAAATTTACAAATGCATGAGTGTGTGTGTGTGTGTGGGTGGGTGAGGGGTGGGGGGAAGAATAACATTACCAACATGCAAAACAGAAAGAGGAGGGAGAAGAGAGGTGGTTTTATCTTTGTGGTTGTGAATTGTGAAAGAAAGAGTATTTGATTTCAACGAAGAATATAGAATAATTGGACAAATGGTCCCCCCCCGACCCCACGTCTCTCTCTCCATTGATTATTACTTCAGTCAAACTGACCAGCCATTGGAATTGTTATGTCATTCAAGGTATGAATCCACCAACATTAGACAAACTTAACTTAAAATGAATGACTTTATCCTCGCGTGACATTGTGATCTATTAACATAATATTGCGCGCCAGAAAAACTTAGAGATAATATTGTTCATTATTATATCGGACAATCACGACAGCATGCCATTTTTTTCTACTAAATACTACGTGGATATGAAAAAGAATTTACACATGACATTATTGAGAGTAGTACAGTAACAGCGAACCTGATGTAAGTCGTTCCACGCCACAAAGAACGTCAAAGTAATAAAATTCAGCAAAACTTAAGTTTCATTTGCTAGCCTTTTGTTATTCATAGTCATAGTCAAACGCAAAATGACGACAATAATTAGGATAATTTTGGTCTCCCTCGTCTCATGGGTGAACAAACCAACCTTCAAACCTTCGATTCAGTTCGATTTGAACTATTCCAAAATGCCCGACTCCCTATATTATTATGTTTTCATCTCTTCTAAACAATAATAATTTTTCTTTAAATAAACAACAATGTCAAACCCTTTTTCTGACTCTGACGTGACTGCAATGCTAGACAACTTGCTAGAAAAAAAAAGGTGATTGAGTTTCCTGAATACAAGCGCCCCTGCAGAGATGAATCGCGTTAACGATCCTAGGTACTACAAATATCATCGTATCGTAAGTCATCCTGTTTGCAAGTACTTCATCCTTAAGGAGCTCATCATGAAGCTAGCACAACAAGGGTAGATCGAGCTTGACTTTGGAGACACGGGCGCAACACATACTACTACAATTGCGCTTAGATCCTTCGACCCCATGCCACTCCAAGTTACGCATGACCACCCCCCCCGTCTATGCTTAAGCTACACGACACCTTCTGCACAACAATCACTGGGGGCAAGCGACCAAAATGCACCTACTGACGATGAAGAAGGGTGGACATTGGTGACCTACAAAAAGACAAAGTAGCCAAGACCACAAGCCACACGGCCAAAGGTTGAACAAGGGAGAAAGCACCGCCGTCGCAACTATAGAAAGCCTAAAAGGAGCGTAAGAGCTGCTAAGCCAACGTACGCTGGGGAACCTATGGAGCAAGAGCCACGCATTCCTGTCTCCTTGCACGAGTACTTCCTGAAGGACTTCTTCCAACAGTGCATTACTATTGCCTGTCACATGGTTGAAGTAGAGATAGAAGAGCCCTCAAAAGGCAAAGTTATCGCCATCGAGGAAGAGAAGACCTTCATGCCTAAAGAAGACTTGCCAACATACTTTAGCATTGAGGAAGCACTACTATTGACCTAGGAAATGCGAAAAGCACTAGTAACGGTCTTAACGAGTTCCGACAACCATGAGGTGCAAGAAAGCAAGGATGAAGGCTTAAAGCTTCGACCACATGAATATGCCATATGTTGTGTCGCCCATGATGCAATCAACTTCACTGACGATGACTTGTTGCTAGGATAAAAGCCTCACAACCGTCCTCTCTTCATCTCTAGGTATGTAAGAGAGAACAAAATCAACTGCATACTTGTGGATGGTGGGTCGGCCATAAACATCATGCCAAAGTCAACAATGACGACAATCGGCATCAAGGTGGATGAACTATCCCGAAGTTGTCTCCTAATCCAAGGTTTTAACCAAGGAGGACAAAGAGCAATAGGCATGATTCAAGTGGAGATGACCATTGGCGAACTCAAATTAACCACGATATTCTATGTGATTGATGCAAGAACTTCATACAGCTCGCTCTTAGGAAGGCCTTTGATCCACGAGAATGGAGCGGTGTCGTCCACCCTTCACCAATGCTTGAAGTTCTACCGAGAAGGAGTAAAGGTGATACAAGGTGACACGAAGCCATTCACCGAAGCTGAATCACATTTCGCAGACGCTAAGTTCTACATGGATAAAGACATGGTGCTCGAAGCTCTTCCAAAAGTAATCAAATCCACAGGCAAAGCCTCACCTAAGAAACAAGAGTGGCAAGTCGTGCCCAAGAAACAAGAAGGGAAAGCTGTACCATCTTCAAGCAAAAATGACAATGAGCCTGTTAAACTCGTAACAACTAAAGAGAGTGTGATGCCCTCAAAAGGATTAAATACACCTGTTTTCCAATACATCCCCCCTGTTGAGAAGAGAGAATGGGTAATCCCCATTCAAAACTGGAACATGTAATGCCGACACACAGCTGCACAATGATGATGTAAAGTTGCTCAAGATAAATGCTGTTTTACCTCTGACATGGCTAGGTAATGCTAAAATTTCAAAACCACCACAAGGTTTCGTAAGACCCCTGCCAAACGGGGCGGAACCAATCTCTTTTCCAACCAAGAGGATCGAAGAAGGTTTTGACCCAAACACCTACAAACTCATGTTAAAGGCTGGGTACGATTGCGCCTCATCTTCAAATCTTGGAAAAAAGAATGCAACCCCGTCAACGACAAAGAATATGACCTCACCAAGACTCAAAAGAAGTTGAAGGAGCATGGTTATGAAGTTAATAACAACAAATTTGAACTTGGCTTCACGCCAAATACTGACACACCCCGACCTGACATGTCTGCTAGGACTCCGAATCGAGTTGTGCTGGCCAACACTTGGAAGGTGACGAAGCCATAAAGTGTAGTGATGTGGAAAATGTGAATAATTAAACCTAAAAGTGAGTAAATATATAAGAGTTCGCTGTGAACGGGAATGAACCCATTTAACACATGATGTCAGAGCATAAGTACAGTACAGTAAGATGGGGTGAGAATTATACCATCGAAGATAATCTTGTACACCAAGATTTTCCAAGAATCCTCGTCGATAAGAAAGCTCGGCTACTAAAACCTGGAGGGGCGAAAAACAAGGGTGAGTGGGCCTGAAAATAAAGTTTTAATAAAAACTTTGAAAACGTTATAACCCCTCGTCGTAAAACATGTATAGTTTCCAAGATATACATACTACGTATAAGTATGAAATCAAATGCAAATCAACAATAATTCTAGAAATATGCCAATCACAATACCTCAACAGTAGCATAATAAAATCAGATGCTCATCGATCTATGCTAGCACACAAGTCGGAGTTGCCTAATGTAACTTGTACGACTGGACTGATGCTCATCAATCTATGCTAGCGCACAAGTCGAAGTTGCCTAATGCAACCTGTACGACTGGACTGATGCTCATCAATCTATGCTAGCACACAAGTCGAAGTTGCCTAATGCAACCTGCACAACAGGACTGGATGTAATCATAATATACGCTCTAATGCTATAATCACGTGAAGATTGGCGCTATTCGCGGTCACATACGAGTCAGAGTTTCCTATTGCAACATGTACAACATGACTAGCACCTACTTGGATCCAAGGCGAGCGTGTGCTGTAGATGTGAACATACAATTGAATGACTGGCCCTGGCCCTTGGCGAGCACTAACACCTAGTGTAGCAATGATGAGCACACTACATAAACAAAGGTTCTAAAAGCGATATAAGCAAAATAATGAAATCAACACTTATAATTCAACTTTTGATTGCAGAAATCAACTTTAACCACGAAGGGAAGATTCACATATCACTTAGGGCCAAATTCAAACTTTTGGACCCTTTCTTCATCAACTAATACTTTTGAGCTCATTCTCACTTCTTTTCATCCTTTTTTTTTCTTTTTCTGCACAACTTTTTCTTTTCTCTTTCTTTTTTTACGGTTTTTTTTTACTTTTTTTATTTTTTTTTTTGAAACACAAAACGTACTACTTCACCAATTCATAAAGACAAATTCTTCCCCCACACTTGTTTTTTTACAAATTGTAGATCACAAGGAATTCCCAACAAGTCATGCTCCACTATTATTTAAGAACAGGGGTATGGATAGTCCTATACTAGGCTAAGTAGGGATAATGCAAGCTAACAAAGAAAAATAGGCTAAATAAGGCTCAAAGGGGTTAAACCTACAATACAAATGCAAAGGGAAAAGGCTTTTTGGCTCTGTTTTAACTAAACAACTTCATCTTGTTATTTGTTATGCAATCAATTTTATGCTTTGAATGAAACAGGCATAAGTTCTAGTATTTGGAACTAAAATGATGAAAAAGCATTCTAAGTAGCAACCAAGCAAAGAAATAATGAGATCATGCAACGACTTTAGAAAACAAGAATATCAAAATTAATAACTCTCCAAACAAAGAATAGCCTCAAGTCTCTCAGGGTTGTAGCGTTAGTTTGAGTTCCTTCCTTTAAGCATGTTCCAAAAACTGATTTTTTTTTCTTTTTGCAAACATCAACTACAACTAAGCATAAACCAAAGAGCATATCAAACTTCCACCCATGTTTGTAACTTTCTTTAACAGTCATGCAATTAAAAACTAAATCCTCATCATTGTGTTGGAAGGTACCCTAAGACAAACACACAAAAACGACTCTTTTTGGGTTTTTCAAAACTTTTTTCAATTTTTTTTGTTTTGTTTTTTTTTTGTTTTTCAAATTTTCATATTTTCCTTTCAAAACACATTAAAACACTTCAAATTTTCGTATTTTCCTTTCAAAACACAGTGAATAACAACTTTAGAAGTGATAGGTGATAAAATCTAACGAACATTCATGAAAAACACTTTGTTTACCCCCCCACACTTAAACCAAACATTGTCCTCAAGCACATAGAAATCGGCTGGAAAGATCAAATGGTTAACTTGCACCACATTTTCACTTACATGTACCACCTCTTTCTCCCGAATTTGTTTCTTTGTTGTACAAAGTTTCTTCAAAAACTTAGCATACTTCGGAATTTGCTTTATTGCATCAAGAAGCGGGATATTGACTTGCACCTTCCTGAAGGTCTCTAGAATGTCTTTTT